TTGCTCACTTCCACAGCCCTGCCAATGTAATTGCTTCTTGTGAGCCTGTACTGATGAAAATCCCCGTGGATCTTGTAAGCTGCTTTGATGTTCATGTCCAGAGAAAGCCGTTTAATGAGGACGGAATATTCTGTCAGGCCTTCCAAAGCGCTGATCGTATCCTGTCAAATTAGTGAGAAGAAGACAACGAGGTGTTTTTATCTTTGGGTGTTTCTGCACAATCAGGTTTTGCTCTTTTTATTCTGGTTTGGCCTTCTTATTTGATTCTTTTTTTTAATTGGTTGTTTTTACTGCAAACTACCCAGAACTGGTCAAGTTGGGCAACTCTATAAAATTGATTATTGAAATAAACAACAAGTAAATACAATTTAAAACGTTGATTGCCAGAAGGTTGGAGATGGACAGACACTGCCAACAACCATGAGAAATAGAGAAAAGGGGATGCGAGAGACCAGCCTGACTGAAATCAGCAACAACTAAAAATGTACAACAAAGTAGTTGGCAGGGAATGGCTGGGCAGTTTTTTACTTGGAGCCCAAATGGGTTTAACTGGAAGTCATTCTGGACCACTTCATCTCTTTTTCTTAGTCACCAAGCATCTGACAAGGTTTCCCATGATATCCTTGTTCACAAAATGGTAGTAGGTGGGTTGAATGCTACTAGCAATGTGTGATTCAGCAGAAAGTTAAGTCATTGTACTAAATGAGCCTGAAGGTAAGTGGAATACTGCAGGCATTGTCTAAGCCTTTGGGGTGCCCAACATTCTTACAAATGACCTGGAGGAAGAGGAAGATGGAGAGTGGATACCTGTGTAGAATAAAATCCACCCCCAAATCGCTGCTCTTCTGTCAACCATCTAATGACTGGATTGGCATAATTTTGATCTCCTTGCAGCAAAATAGAAAGCAAGGCATAGGCGGTGGTTTCAACCATCTTGGCGTTACTCTCGGAGGGAATGCTTGCATCTATTTTGATGGGAGCCTCTTTCCAGAAGCGATAAGGTTGGGGGCTCTCTGCAAATGGGAAATAACAAAGATACAGCATTCACAGTGGGGAAGGAAGATCCCTCTGGCCTCTGACACTAGCCAAGGAACCCAGGACCAATGAGAGTATCTTCCTTGCTTATTGTGGTACTTGGAGAGGCCAGCCTAACCTGAAGGATGAAGGATGAAGGGCTGCTGGTGGATGGATGAATGGGGACTAGAGGATGAAGGGCTGCTGGTGTTTATAAGGGTGTGCCATCATCAGTAGGTGAATTGGTTTGGAATCAGTAGGTCTGGACTTTACCTTTCACCAGAGCTTCTTTCTTCAACCGAGTGTAGGCTGCAAGAACGGCAGGCTGGTTGACCTTTGCTAGCTTTAGAGCATAGGTCACTATGGCCAAGACAAAGGTGTTTTGTGAGGATTCGACATTTTCCAACAAATAATTGGCAGCCCTGTTTTTAGCATCTTCAATGTTCTGTAAAGGCAAAGACACAATGGTTCATTTTGCTTGGTTGCCCATTGATTTTCCACATCCCACCTTTCTTCCCATGCATTCTTCCCATGCATGGTTCTTTTCCCCATATTATCTTGAAAAATATTCCGTCAGATGGATCAAATAATAATGATGGGTCTCAAATAACAGAGACAGCATTACGCTCCCCCATCTTTAATCTGAATTCAATATTCTAACTGCTGTCACCATCGGCTTCTCAATGCAAAGGTCAAACTATGCCAACATTGTTCAAGCAGAGCTGGACACACTTAAATCCTAGCAGTCTCTGGCATTGGTGGAGCATAAACGTTCATCAAAGAGGATGCTGAATTTTGACCAGGGTAAATACATGGCAGCAGAGATGCCACTGATAAGTGGAAAGTGGACATACCCACCTGGAAGGGGCACAGGTTCCTATTTTTTTCGAAGGCAATCAAGGAGAAGGCTGTGAGATACAGACTGTTTTCTTTCTGCACATTACGTAATGTACCCTTTGAAAACAAACAAATAAGTTAAGACTTAGGCAAAATCTGTCACTGCCCTGATTCTTAGTTCCCCTCATGTAGCAAGTTATACAAATTAATCTGTATCAGTCACCACTACAGAGAGCAGCCAGGACAAAACTCTACCCACCCTTCTGAAGTAACCAACCCATCCTTGAAAGCTTCACTCAACTGCCCCCACCCCAAAACTACTGCAATATTCCCCATCCAAATTTTCAGAAACCCTGTAGATAGGGAAGTAGTTTCCGTCCCAGATCCCCGAGCATTTGGTATATGTTTCGGTATATCGTTTTAGCTAGACAACCCTTTATTCTGATGCACCATTGTTACTTTTTAAGTTGTTCTGGTCTATGACTGCAATAATAGCAAACTAAAAGAATAAACCAAACTAAATTCTATTTATCCTGCACTGCTTTCTGTAACATGAAGGCATGGATTCCACAGAACACAAGTGGAAAGAACAACAGATTAGGGCTAATCCTTGAATTCTAGCACAAAAATGCCAGAGGAAAACTCTATATAGCGGAGTAACAAAATGTAAGGAACCACTTTATCCTATCAGGAACTTGGGAAATGCAGGAAGAAAAATACGCACTCTAGGAAGACATTACAAAGTCTTGAGCAACAGTATGTTGGAAACAAGCTGGACTCAACAAAATAACAATTCTGGGTCTTCTGCAAAGCCAAGAGTTCTAGCTGAGTGCAGGGATGTCAAGTGATTGATTGATTGATTGATTGCATGAGAGAAAGGAGATATGTTTTCTCTTCTTTCCACAAACTGAAGTTCAACAGACCCATAGATGAATCTTAATTCACTTACTTCTTAGTCCCCTTCCATACCTGTAGCATTACTGGCTTGTAATCTGAGATTTCCCTGAAAGATCCATCATCCATTTGACAGATGTCAACCATCCATTTCAGAGACTCACACACCGAAGCAAATTGAACAGGCGCATATTGCTGAACTTGTCCAAAAACCCTTAGGATAAATGCTGTAATCCTGCCATACCGAAAGATAAAACTGAGTTTTTTCCACACATTTGGAGACAGCTTTCAAGAAATCCAGAAACAAACAGGAAAGAAAAGAAGTTGAAAGTGTTCGAACACCAGGAGGCAGGAAAAAAGGGAAACACAAAATGAAGGCAGATTGAACGTGATTAAAAAGAAAACCCACAGAGGGGAAACAGATAAATCCTACCTCTGTTCACATGTAGGACTCACCCCCACTCACTTTACTTCATTATCTTCAATCCTCACCCTTCCAAAAATATTAAACCCAGCCCTCAGCTATTAAAAGGATGTCCACTCACCCATCATATGCTAAAGATGTGATCCTTGCCTTATTTCATCATTGTATTTATTTTATTTGTCAATAAAGGCTCTTAGGCAATTGGGAAGATGAATCTATATAATGGGGCTGCTTCCTTATGTCAGACTGGGAAGCCCCCTCTCCGTCAAACAAATGATGAAATGATCTAGTAGCTACGTGAAGAAAGAACAGCACACCCATAGAAGCCTGATCAAGATGTAGAGAGCTGATGTTTGGACTCTGAGCTAGCAACATTTTTAGACTGTTAGTTGTCCCATGTAAGAACAACAACTGTGAGAGTGCTGTTCTTCTGCAGACCTTACATGGGGCTCCTACTCCCAACAGCCAACCTGCAGATGTAGAAAGAAGCAGAAATACTGCAAATCTGTCATAGTCCCCCTGTTCAGAGCAGGTAGTCAGGTCAAATAATGTCACATGAAGGAAAAACACCAGTTTTCTCTTGACGTGATATAATTCCAAGGAATGACCTCTGAACTGTTCTGGAAGTGTCTGGCTCTCAAACCCCTTCCACTTACCAGGTGCCAGCTTCCCCATCCTTCCACATGCTGTAAGAGAAATCTTGCTTTTGAAAAGACAGGATGCTGATGATTCCTGAGAAACCCAAAACAACATTTCTTCTCCAAGAGCTCATTCACATCTTAAAAGGCAAAGAATCCCTCAGCTTTGTGATCTCCCCATCTCGCTTATGGTCCTGATAGTCTCCAATCCAAGAATTAACCACGTCCAACCTTCTTTAGCATTTTTCCAACTAGGTGCGGTCAGGAGCCATTCACATCTAACTGATGCAATAAATCCATTATTGGCCCATCTTAAACTACTTTCTCCCAGCCCTTTGGATCCTTAATCCTTCTGTTCTGGAAATTGAGTAGCATCTCTGTCCCCAACCACTTGCCTTTCTGACCCTGACAGCCACTCCTTGTAGCAATTCCATTTACATACTGTAAGTACATAGATCCTCTGACTTTCCTTCCTGGAGATATCATTTCACCTAATTTACACACACTGCAGAGGTTCTTAATGTGGGGTCTAAGGACCTCTTGGGGGTACATGGATAGATTTCAGGAGATCTGTGAACTTGGATAGGGAAAAACAACAACAGGATTTTTGATACTTGCAACCATTGAAACAAAACAAATGTAATTGAGTGGATGCCCAAAGATGACGTGTTTGTTTTCTTTCAACAGTTGGATAACTATTTGAAATACAGCCTAAATCTAGGTTTTTTCTTTCCAATACAGTCTATATCTAGGTTTTTTATTTTATTTATGTATTTATTCTCTAAGAAGGCATCCATAGGTTTCATTGGACTCTCAAAGGGGCAGATGGTTAAGACTCCCTGACATACTGGATCAGTATAGGAACTGAAATTCAGTAATCCAGCTAAGGGGGGGAAATGGAGAAATGTGCCCCAAAATGGATGGAGACAGACAGACAGACAGACAGAAGGATAGGCTCTCTCTCTTTTTTTAAAGATAATTATAATGATGCAGAAATGATCTCCAGTTTGAGGGGGCCTGGACTTGACAGAGAAGGCCCAGAGGGAGAGCTTTTTCTGCTGTTGCCCCCACCCTTTGGAATATTCTCCCCCCAGAGGTGCAGCGGGCCCCTACCATCCTGGCTTTCTGGAAAGGGCTGCAGACCTGACTCTGCCAGCTTGCGTGGGGCGATGGGAGCTCTGGTCGATCGTGGGGCAGCTGGTGCCTTGATAACGCTCCCTGGGCTGCTTGCCAATTCCACCGATTCTTGGAATCTATTTATTATTTAAGACTTCTTTTATATTATATTTCAACTGGTTCTATCCTTTCTGTAAACCGCCCAGAGTCGCCTTTGAACGAGATGGGTGGTGACAAATTTGATATATAAATTAAAAAACTTTAAAGAAACTTCATGCAACTCTCACAAGCCTTAAGGAAAAATCATGTCCCTCCACAGAAGGTGTGCTTTGGCAGGTCGGCATTCCACCGGCTTTCCCATCTACACCATTGGCAGGTTCACAGCTGGAAGGGTGTTTCCTTACCTACTTTCATCTTCCTTGACATGGTAATTTGTTGATTTACACCGGTCTCGCCAAAGATGTCCCAGGACTTTGTTCTTTCCAGGTAATCATACACGTAAAACACAGGGACGATGTTCATCAGTTCTGCTTCTGCGCTCCCTTGAGGGAGGTCAGCCAGTAGCTTCAGCACACCTGGCTTAACAGCAGCATGGATCACTTCACCCAGAAGGTTTCCTGTGAAAGGGTGAAATCAAGCAAGGAAGCCAAAAAGGGGATATGAAAACGAGAGGAGAGGAGAGGAAGAGAAGAGGGAAGGGAAGGGAAGCCGCAACATAGACTTTTTACGGATTCATGCTGTGCACACAAGCTTCAGCTATTTAACAGAGTTATCTGTTTATTCATCGTTTCAGTTGCTAAGGCTGCCCACTCCCAGATGGGAACGATGGGTCAGTGAAGGACCCTCATGGGAAATCAATTTGGCTGAATAAGTAGATCAAGGCCCAAAGCTTTCACTACAACATGCACTGGGCTCTCTTTTAATCCCACCTTCCCTCCCTTCCTCCCTCCCTCCCTCCCTAAATAATACATTATGTGGGGGAGACCCTGATCCTAAGCTGAATTGGCCCATTCAAAATTTAGAGGGGAAAAAACCCGCAAGCAAGTGAAAAACAGCACCCATTCCTTCTCTCACTCCATTTTACCTTTTACACTGAGAATCTTTTCGAGTCTTGTCTTGGGGACGATGTAGCGTGGTATCCTGTGATAAAATTCTTGCTGCCTCACAACTGTGCCTGTCATTGACAATCCACATCAAAGCCAATGATTGTACAGAATACAGAATACAGAATACTTTAATGGCCAAGTATAAAAGATATACAAGGAATTTGTCTTCGGTGACGAACGGCAAGATCAACAGTGCATTTGGATAGGAACAGAAAAAGGAATACTAATGATTTTACATTAGTATGTCATACTTTTCAAATTATGTTGCATAAACAACTTACTAAAATTAAGGCTGTAATCCTAGGCCCTCCGTTCACCCTTCCATGGTGTAAAAGCCAGCTGAAACTGGTGGATTTACACCCACATAGACACATACACAATGTTCTCAACCTCTTTTGCACTGTTAATAAAAATGCAGCAATTCTGCCTTGATTCGTTTCTATCCACATGAAGTACTAGTAATCAGTGTAAATGCATATTTTCCCTTACATATGTGGTATGTCCCTCTGCCCACGTGGTCTAGAGACCATGAAGTAGGTGTTACTACATCGCAAAAGACTGATGCATGAATACCCAGCAAAATAACTTGTCTTGAAGTTGGGCCTGGCTTTAAAAAAAGGGGATACAGAAGTGCTTGGGAAATAGCAGCTTTCTGGAGGAGCAATGTTCCAAAGGAGGTTTTATTTCTGACCAAATACAGATCTGCAGTCTTCTCTAGTCACACTCCCAGTTATTAATCTTATTGATTCAGTTTTGTTCTGTCCTCCTGACTGGAGGGACCTGGTGCTAGTTAAAGAAAAAAAATAATGAGAGAGAAATATCTATTTTTTCCCCATAATCAATTGAAGAGACATACCATAAACACCTTGTGGATCCAGCATGTGACCTTCATGAATTTCCTTTCGAATACCTTCGGGCTAAAACCAAAGAACTGGCAGATAAAATTATACACGCCATGCAGTCTTTCTTATTCCCTTTATTTTTTTCAGATTTGCACTAACTGAATGGCAGTATGCCTTTTTCTTCCTCCCACTCATACCTGCCCAAGCCTACTCTGCTGTTTCTCAGGATGAAATTCCCGCTGTCAGGCAATTTGTCTAAACTAACCAAAGTATCAGAAGAATACATTCCAAGTGTATCAAACCATACCACCCCTTTGCCAAACGCAGAGTCTTCCTGCATAAAATGCGAGCAACATACAGAGTGCCATTTGTAGGCAAGAAGGCATGATGTTATAGGTTGAACAGACAATCATACACTTCAGTAAGCTATTATTGAAAGAGAGGCATGGAAAGTCTTCTCCTTCACCCCCAAGACTAAGAGCTCAATCTTACCACGACTCTTAATGTCTTCACGAGAACTTCATTGCCCGCATCGCTCCGAAGCGTGAAGTTGACACTGAGGAGGCCTAACTCAAGAGGAAGAACCTTAAATGTTTCTACGACGATAGAAGAGCTCTGGATATTCTTCAGCCGAGAGCAGGTGATCTCCTGTGAACCATCCTTTTGGGTGACACCAGCTCCAAAGAGGCAGATCCCTTTTTGCACGCTGATCTTCAGGCAAAACTAAAACGTTCACCACAAAGGATTAGAGATCCATCAACAAGAAAATGCACAAGAGAAACAACCCTAAATCTGGCCCTCGGATGGAGCAGTGTGTTCTCTTTTCTTTTAATTATATTGTTGTAAAACATTTACTATAATACATTACATTATTTTGGTACAGTGGTATTTGTACAGTATAGACTAAAGATGATTAACACTCTAATGTTTAGATAACTCAGACCATTAAAGATATGAAAAAAGACAAGTATTATGTCAGTATTAACTATGATTTAAAATGTCAATGTGGATAGGCGTGAGTTTATTTAGATTTTTCATCCAAAACTGGATATGACATTAAAAAAACACTGCAAATTACATCAAAATATTTGTTTTAGAGGAGTGTTCACTTTCCAACCAGCCAAAAAATTAACAACCAACTTTTTCATAGACCACATATTCTTTGCAATGCCCTTCTGTCATTCAAGGACAGGTCAAATCTATCCCTAATTGCCTTACCAATGAGGTCTAGCCTACATGGCATTTCACACAGGGGGAGTAATACAGATAGTTTATTGGTAGATGAAAAGCTTTTGATTGGCAAAATAAGTCAATGTAGCATGATAACTTCCTGTTTTGTTTTTAGCAAGATTTCAAGAAACAAAAGCCGGTCTGAATCAAAGTGCCTGGCCAGAGGAACTGTGGTTTTGAGAACATGGATGTTGTTACAATTAAAGAATGTACTATTTACCTCTCTATCTGTGCTCTGCTTATATATTTGTAAATTATAACGTGTAAAATAAACCTAAATTTTACAAAAACAACTTAAGTCTCCGGTGATCTCGCTTTCCACTGGGAATCAGATCTGGAGAAGTGTTGCCCAGTTCTCTGAGAAATGAGGCATCCCAAAAGTAATGTAAGTAATGTTCCATACAAATTTAGCATTTTATAAACCCATTCTGTTGTGGGTGTTGAAAGTTGCCCTCGCTAAGAATGTGTTTTTAACCATTCCCTTACCTTGGCCATTGAGGCTTTGTAATTGTAAACTGTTGCTTTTAATTCTATTTGCTCTCCCCGGACAATGGAATAAGGAATATGGACATTTAGGAAGACGTCTTTTATGACTTCCACGTCTAGGGTATCAGTGACACAGATACCTGTGTGATCCAAAGAAATAAGGACATCAAAAAACAGTCTTTCTTTAGACACAAGCCTATTTAAGTGCAAGCAGAAAGCAAGCCTTGATGCAGATAAGGCCCAGACTTGTACTATAATGAGGATGAAGGAAAATTGGGGTGGTAATATCTACTCTGGCTAGGGTTCAAACATCTGAAGAGCCATTGCATGGTTGCCTAAAAAAGCCACCTGAGTCTGTTTTTTTACATACCTTTATCAGAAATGCTAACACCTTGTATTTCCCAGGTAGTAAGAGAATCAGGCAGGGTGACAGGCAGAGTCTTGGACCTGCATTTGGTTTAAAAACAAGAGTTGATTTACTAGTTTCAGCACAGATGCTCTTTTCTGGCATGGAGAGTATTTAGATTATTTTTTAAAAGAACATATCATTTTAACAAATATATACTAAGTGATTTAAATGTTGCCTTTGGTTTTTCTCGTGCCATTTTAAAACACTTCCAAACACATCGCTTGGATTAGAGGTGGGTTTGGATTAAATCATTCAGGTCCACCATACCAGACTTCCATAACCAGTTGAAAGTGTGGAATAACCTGTGCAGTCCTGTTTTAGTGACATGAATAGAGAAATAAATGTATCTAGAGCACCAAGGAGGAAGAGAAGAAATCAACCATGCTGTTAAACTGGGCTGAGGAACAGCTACATCTTACAGTAAGCCTCCTATTTGTAAATAATCTATACAAGCCTGTTGAGACCATAGTAGAATTTCTCTGTGGATGATTTTGGGTTTTGAAGCTAGCAAAATCGACCGTAAAACAAGAGAATACCAGAGTGTTACCCAAGGCATATCTTCTATTGCTATAATGGACCATCAGTGATACTTTGATGTTGCATCCTTGAGTATTCTTTTCAAGTATTTTTACTTGCAGTATGATGCACAGAATATGAAGGAATGGTGTCTTCCTTTTCATCTGGCATCAATAAAGGCAATGGCAATTTCCTTTGGAGAAGGCATGACCATCAGGGGAAGATGGCCACCAGCACATTTTGCAGCAGCAAATTCTACGAACAGCAACATCACTAAACCAGGCCCTGGGTTCACCTAAGTCACCCGTGTCTACTGGGCAGGTCACTGTCCCTGATTACATTGTGCCTTTGTATGACGATCACACATTTAATGACGAGATCAAATCACATTCTAAGGAATCAACAGTATATAGTCTTGTACCTTTGAACTGGGTGGACTTCCCAAAGCCAGCTTTCTGGGAAAAAACTTCGGATTTCTGGAGCCACATCTAAGAGAGCATTAAAGGCTGGAAAAAGAAAAAAGAAAGAAAGAAAGAAAGAAAGAAAGAAGGAAGTCCACAATGTTAGGATAGCTAGCCAGAAATCAGGAGCTGCCAAGTTCAGATGCAAAAATCTGTGGGATTTGTAATTTACAGAGCAAAATGCCCTTTTAGGTAGCAGTGCTGGAGTTCAACATCCAGCCAGCCTGACTGTTATCTCCCTTTAACAGTTTTGCTCAGACTTGGCAGAAGAATGATAGGAACTTCCCTAACATGTTTTTTTTCCCCGTTTGTTGTATTTCTTTAACTTTTTTGTTAAAGCAGTCTCTATGTGTCCTTTTTCTTTTTCTTAATAAATAAATAAATAAATAAATCACACAACACAAAGTAAAATCAAATGGATGGGATAAACTACCGGCATAACAAGAAATCTCTATAATACAGTATACGTTTTATGTCTATGTAACATAACCTCCCCCCCAAAAAAAGTTTATTGATTAGTCAATCGACCAGATCAAAAACACTAGAACACGACATCAGTTGATAAACTAAAATAAAAGGGGCATACATATGTATGCTAGGTATATACATACCATTTCTTGCCAGCATTAAAAGTTTGTGGGTCTCATTAAGGCGCATCTTAAATGCAAATTCACAGCAAATCCGAAAGGCATAAATGCATCCGGGTCCACCCTTAATACGCCTCATTCTCTGCTGGCACGTCTGCGGGAAGGGGTAAGGTTCTGCTCCGATCCGACAGCACTTCTGCAATTCCGGCCGTCGAAACTGGGCAACTGAAAGGATAATGGGAGATATGACAACCTGTGGCTTGGAGCCCTTTAATTATCAGAACGTTTTGGGTGGAGCTGGGTAAGAAAATGGGGAGAAGAGGCCAGAACTGTATTCTTTCCAGGAGATGAACAGGAAAAGAATGAATAAGAAACTTAATTTAGTCCTGGGTCACTGATGAGATAAGTAAGTCATAGAAATGGTACCACAGCCCTGCTGCTTTATGGAAATGATGAGCCCACAATTTATCTCCATATGAAGTTGCTCAAGACCAAGGCCAGACTTGGTCAAAACTAGCTATTTTGGGAGCAGAAGTCTTACTGAAATCAAAACTTCCATTTTAACCGTCTGAATCGAGGCACTGCAGGATTGTTCACGGGGAGGGGGCAGAGACCATGTTTTCACACGCAAAATCATGGCCTCTGCCAGATGGAACGTGCACAAAACAGGGCAGCGACATGGCAGATCTGCTCACCTGGTTGCTCTTGAGCAAAGTATTTGGCTTTAGGGCATACCTTTTTTTTCAATTTCCTGGCTGATGGAGCGGGCTGCTCTGACGATCGCTGTGCAAGTTTCATCTGTTGAAGCAAAGTGAAGTAGAATACACCGGTGGCAATAAGAAGCAGCAATGCTTATACAAAAATATACACAGTTGACACAAAAGGAAGTTATTGGAACATAACTCTGTCAGACCCATCTCCACAACACGAAAGTTTCCACTTCTGTTTTAGAAGAAACAATAGCTGTGCCCTAAATAGAAACTGTGCTTAGTTCAGACAAACCAAGATAAAACACAGACTTACCAAGCTTGTTCTTGATCTTCTAAACCAAGAGAGTCTCAACAAGACAGGCTTAATATTTGGGGAAGGGTCCAAAGAATCCAATAAACAGAGCAATAGCTGAAAATGGATGAGGCCTTGAACCCCTTTAAGGAGCCCTGAACTTGCCATTTCTTCACAATGTTGGGAGTGGGGGCTATTATTTTTAATTGCATTAGATGGATTTTAGAGAGCACATGCAGTTCTCCTGCCCTTTCATGCTTCAAAAGGTTGAGCAACCACAACCCAGTTTGGGGCTATTGTATTGCCAGATTGTGGCAGTGCAAGTGGGAAGGGTTCTGGGGAGCACAACACGGGTTTGGGCGACACGTGTGACCCAGAGGCTGCTCGCTCCTGGCCTGAAGTATCATTTGTGTGATCCCACCAATAACCCAAATAGCACTTCACTGAAGTAGGACACACAGCGAAAGAACTAACACACGGAGAGTGATACTGTCCAATATTATCTAAATGCTTGCTACTTGAACATCAAAAATAAGACAGGAAAGTAATTTGGTAATCAGATACGACAGTTTTGCACTTTCAGAAAATTAGAGCTGAAGGTTTACGGACAGTGATATCATGGTAAAAAGGAGATAGGCACCCTCTTCTTTGGGGTCATCAGCATTGGCGTTGGTGAGGAAGGTGAGTCCGGCCATCCGGAACACATCCACGTTGTTCTGTCCTCCCCCAGCCCCGCAGCCAAGGTCACTTTTTTCCAGTTTAAGAAGAGCCTGCAAAGGAGCAAAGAAGACTCATTTTAACGTGCGATTTAATACATTCAGTTTATAATGCACGCACTTGTCAAAATCATTTGCAGCAGAAACAGAGATGCATGCATGCATTTGCACAATGCTACAGTCAACAAATGAGAGTCTTCCTATTGCTTAATTGGCTACCACAGGGTCGTGTTGTCAATCCTTATGCTTCCTCAAAGCAAAACTGACCGTGTTCTTGTTCTATTCCTACATTGTAAAAGTTTGGCAGTCATTTCAGCAACTTTGGAAGACAAGGGCACCCAAAATGTATTGTTCCCCCATCTGCTCCCAAAGATTATCGGCTGATCCTTTGCTGCCTCCCCTAATATTCCTGCACTATATTATGCCCTACAGCTGTAACTTTACTCCAAGAACCTTTCAGAGAAAAAGTGGGTGGTTCCAACAGAAGTCTTCTTATGGTGTTTTTCCCCCGCCACTTGGCAAATTAGGGAACCAAATGTCTGAACTCGGCTATGGGATCTTCAGTTGGTCATCTCTAATATGTGAACTGCACCTCTTTGGGGTCCATTCTGAAGTGTGTTCGGTACCTTTTCTTAAGTATATTTTTCTGTTCTAGTGCCCAAGCAGTTGGTGGAAAGATAGCACTGATGCACAGCTGTATTCCAGCAGTGTAGGAAACAACAATCCAATAAGCAATTTAGTAATAAGACAGAACAGTTTAGTACTTACAGCAATTGAAGGCTGTCAGCCACGGGGGAGTCAGCCATTTGATGCTACTCTGATGCTACTCAGAGAACACTGCCTGTCCCCTGGGAAAACCGTCAGGGCCCACCAAAGGAGGAGGATCCTTGATTTTGCCCAAGACCCTCCCAACATGCAACTGAGTCTCCAACAGCTGTGTATGAAGAGAACTCTCTGGGTAAGGAGATCCGATGGCTAGGTTCATACAATGCACTCAACTAGGCTAAAGAAGTGTTGAGTTCATTATGATTCATAATGTTTTTGGGAACCGAGTCAACTGTCTGAGTATGCTATGCCAGGCCATCACATTAAGCCATAAGTTGGTTTATTTGAGGGGCGCAACATTTATTTAGTTAGTTAGTCCATTTGTAGACTGCCCATCTCAAATACATGACCCTGGGTGACTAAAAACGATTAAAACAAAATTAAAAAATGGTAACAAATCAGCCTACTATATAAATGGAACCACTGTGGTTTGCCCATGCAGTTGAAAGTTCACTGTGTTGTGTGACTCTAGCCAATTATTAACAGATGAAGAATTAACGGCTTTTTCATGTATTATATAGTATTGTGTGCATTTCTCAAACCTAACTGACGTCACGTGTTTCGTAATCTAAATATGCATCTATTATGCCAACAGTTTTCCTTTTGACCTGACGTAACTTTTTCCATAGGTTTCTGTTTTGTTCCTGTAACTCCATAAATTGCTTTGTCCATGGCTGATAGAGCAACGAGAGACTGAAACTCAGATGTCATGGAAAGTGACACAGCTTCTCCAGGTCGATAAGATCTTCCATTTTTCAGGATGTGGACCTGTAAAGGTGAAAACCCAAATATAATATGCAGAAGGAAATCCCCACATTTCAACAGGGCTTCAGAACATTCCGGAGTTTGCCCATATGTTTAAAGAGAAATGGTTGGAGTAATTAATATATACAGAAGATGGTTTGCTGCTTACCTCAAGGTTGTTCCCACATCTTTGTTGTATATTTAACCAGACTGAATCAGCTACCAATTCTGCAGTTCCCTCTCCTGTAACTATGTAATAGACAAGAAGACGGGCTGAAGGAACCATTTCTTTAGTTATATGAAATGTCAGAGCTTGATAAGATAAGCCTTTGATCTTCTCATCAGTCCCATATCTTATTATTTTCCCTTTGGATAAGATCTACAAGAAAGGAGAAAAGCAATAAAATTAAAGAGCAGTAGCTTAGGTAACCTAAGAAAAAATGTACTGTGACCCAGAAGACAATTAACGTTGATTATTTCATTGGCTCTGCTGGCACGAGGCATCCATGCTGTGGTGGCATTGTGGCTTAGGCCAACCGGCAGCCAACAAAATGGAAGATGGTGAGCCAGCAGAATTTCTGGTCACCACTTCACCATCAACTTCTAGATGCTGAAACTCCAAGGAACCTGGAGATCCAAAGTGAGGATCCTCACACGGATCCTGCACCCACAAAGCCCTTCATATTTAGATATAAACTACCAAGCTCAAAGAGCCCCAAGGACTCCACAGTTAAGTATAAATGTCTGCTGTATAATTCTAGAGGCATTCAGTTGCATGTCTGTTGTGCTGCCATCTCTCAGGAGGACATAAGTATTTGGGGACAGTTATTTCAGTGAAAATGCTTTAGATCTCTTGTTTGCCTGTAAACTAGAATCATTAAAACTATAACCTTCAATAAGCACCTTCAATAAGCAATAGCAATTTTATGTCATGGAGGAGACATGATAATGTCAGGTCCAGCCTGATTTCTCTTGAATGCAAGAGGAGGAAACTATCCTTGCATTCTGCCTAATGCAGTTTCAATGCTTCAGTTGGCTGAAACAAATAAATGCAACTAAAACAATGATCTAATCAAAATCAAGACTTTCCAGTGAGATCATACTCTTCTTCAGAAGCCCATACTTAAGAAAGGAATTAGGATGTAGAGGAAAACTCTGTGCATCATCTTTTTGTGGGCAAGTAGGTGGAGGAGGGAGATAGTAATCTTTTCTCTATTATCAAATTACTTCTGCAGATTTTAATTTATTAGCGTGTTGCTTTTCTATCTCCCTGCAATCTCATCGTTTTTCAGCAGCATACGAGATACAGAAAGGAAAAATTGAAAGATTAAAACACGGAACCACATAAAGAGCGATTAAAAATATAAATAAATAAATAAATTGATAACCACGTACGCCCTAACAGTCAAAAGAGGAAGTAAAAAGGTGACAGAACGCTCTCTGGAAAATTTCAGTTTTTAATAACCTCTTGAAAGTGGTCAAGGAGGGAACCAGCCTGATCTCCACAATACATTGCCAACATCAGCTACCACATGTATGCATTTCAATTTTTCTTCATTTGCTCCCTTTAGGGAAAGGTAAAAATATGTTTGTAAGACATACCAGATAGCTGTAGTGAAGTATTTTATCAGCGTAATGGCTTGCTGGATGTACTTTGATCTGCACTGTCTCTCCGACCTGTAAAACTCTGTGATCTGATGCCCAGTTAATAAATAGATAGCTTCCACTGAGAGAAAAATATGATTTTGCCTCATAGGATTCGCTGGCCTGGCTCTCTTCTGGTAAAGAAGTATCTGCAGTTGTTATCTAAACACAAACCAAAAATAACAGGCCTCATGAAGAAAGACTTGGTTTTGGTGCGTTCGTGGATCTAGATTGGAAGGGGAGCAAAGAAAACTATCAGCTGGGGACTTCCTTATAACTTCTATAATTTGAGGGAGGTATACTTCAATCACATTCTGCAGAGACCCAGCTCTCTGGAGAAGTCCATAATGCTAGGAAAGTTGGAAGGGAAGTGAAGAAGAGGATGACCAGCAGCAAGGTGGAGGGACTCTCTTACAGAGGTGATAGGTGCCCCGTTGGGAGACCTGAAGGACCAGGTTGGGGACTGATCAGTCTGGAGAAGACCTGCTCTATCTATGTGGTCCCTAAGAGTCAATACCAACCTGATGGAACATAATCAGTCAATCATTCAATGGGACTTCCATTTGTAACACTAGTGGAGCTTTCTCACAGAGGTTGGTGTGTCAGGAGATGAGTACTCCAAACAAACCAATTTCCCCTTTTGTAAACATGTGTACATATGTGTTAAAAATAAAGCCTGTAAATTTAATAACATCCAGTTTCGGAGGCTGTTATTCCCAATTTAATGACCACAGAGAGCCAATCAGCCATTTGCAATCATTTCTGGAAAAGAACCTTTGTTCCAATGTCCATCTGCGCACATAGTAAGCGTCATCTGTGTTTAAATGAGGGATACTTTTAAAACTTTTGGGGGACTTAGGAAAAAGACAGGACTTTGCTTTGTTGAAACTTTAATATACTGTCTGAATTCAATAAGGGGTTGCTGTCTTAGACTAAATTTGAGGCATATCCAATTTTTCACACATGTTTACTGTGACGTTTCAGAATACTATATGAGCCAGCCACAGATTATTCTGTGTGGATGTAGACAATGTATTTGCTTCTTTGCTGGTCAGTGTGTTAAATTTAAAAAAACCAGCTGTCAGGTCTACCATTGTGAAATGTGAAACTCATTGCATACTACTCTAAGGTAGGCAAACGTGCACACTGGTGTAAACATCACTGCATCTTAGTCCAAGTACAGAGTCTTAAATTACATGCTGAACAAGTAGAGAATATTTCGCTCACTTTGAAGTCCAATAATTTGCTGTCAGAAGGAATATTAAGTGGAAATATAGTTGTTCCATCATTCGGACTTGTTACGCTTTGCCCGAACTCTGAGCCTTCTTGAATTAATTTGGTCTCTTTCATTTGGTCATTCAAGGCAGTAGCAGTAAGAACAACTGGAACGTTTCCAATCAATTCACCTGATGTATCCTTCACCCGCACCTATTTACACAAAAATGGTTGTTTATCATCAAATCTTAAACTACAATGCTGATAATAATAATAATAATAATAATAATAATAATAATAATAATAATAATTCCTTATTATTCCTATCAATAAACTATCTTACCTCCTCCAAGGTACAAAGCTATGGGCAGTAAGAAAAACTGCCAAGTTTATAGCTAAAACTATCCAGCTGAGAGCTTCTTGTCTAGATCAGATTGGGGTTAACTGCCAAGAGGATGATCTTACCTGATTATTTAATTGAATATTTTTTATATCCCAATATGCTGTATTATTTTAACATATTTTATCTGATATGGTCATTAGACTAATCGGTAAACAATAAACTAAACTAATCTAAAACTTATTCTTTTTTTATTAGGATTTGGGCACATACTCTCAAGCGTCTCACAATTTTGTTTCAAGTAATTTGTAGAGCTTCCTGCTTGCCGTAGGCAGTGAAATCTCTCAGGACAGCCCTGCTAAGAGAATAGGACTTCTGAAATATCTAAGGTGTGATCCTGATAGAAGACCTTCAGAACTACCAAAGTCACTGGCCAAGATGAGGTCTTTCCTCCGAACGATTTTGTTCACTGGTTTGTTTATTTTTGATGTCACACACCTCCAACTGACTCTGGAGACTGTTGGTAGATTGCTTTCAAGAAAAGAGAAAGCACTATTGGCTAAGGCCCCTGGGAGAGAACTGCATAAGATGACAGAAGCAGGCCCCAACTGAAAACTTCATCGTTTGACTAACCTTAATGAAATAAGGAAGCCCTGGCTTCACAAAAAGAGGAGTGGCGATCAAATCCAACTTGTAAGGAGACAAGGAATATTTAACCGTTGTTAATTCACTGTCCTCACTGTGGCCACCTGTCAAAAGAAGGGGTTTTATGATTTCAGGACAACCTTGAGAAGATAGTCTTGTGCCTCATGTGGTAAACACCCTGAACGGAGATTTCACAGTGCTCTACAACCAGGGTTAGCAAGAATGTTACCACCTAGGGTTATCCTGAATTGTGGCCTACAGCAAGATAATCACTGGTATGTTGTTCATTCATTCATTCATTCATTCATTCATTCATTCATTCATTCATTCATTCATTTTTACTACATTTTATATGTCATTATTTCTGAAAAGAACTAAGCAGCTTACAAACAACGCAAAGATAGAACAGAAAAAGTAGCAAAGGAAACATAACAACCCCTCCAAACCAGTAACAATGGTAAATCTTCCTATCATTAACACACCGAGGAAAGACATTCCCGACAATTGCCACCTGTCATACTATCAATCCCAAAAGCTTTCTGGAACAGCCAGATCTTGACGACTTTCCTGAAGGCCAACACAGTTGGTGGTCACCTGACCTTGGGTGAAGCATTGTTGTAGTGGAGAAGGGCAGCAACAGAAAAGATCCCTTAGCAAACCAGGAAGAACCAAGGACTTCTACTGTATTTTGAGACTGAAGTTATTTCACTGAGCAGTCATGGGGACCTCCGTGCTGCGCTCATTTTCATCTGCACAATTCAAAATGCGGCCAAAAGCTTGCAAGGTCATTCAGGAAAGCCGTTATTGCAAGCAGGTTCTGACCTGGTTCTGTCTACCCAAGCCAGCCATCCAGCTGACCAAGAACTGTCTTTCTTGAACTTTCTTTCTTAACCTGCTCAAACCCTTTCCCAAATCTGAGGTCTCAGCTCTGATAAGGAACTACCATCTGTCCTTTGACCAGAAAAACCTCCTTTATTTATTTAACAGGATTTATCATCCAGTCCTGAAGGACTCTGATGATGTAGAATGCAGACAAAAGAAAAAACAAGGTAATAATCAAGTCCAATCCAGAAACCAAGATGGATGCCCTTAACCAATCAGCTGGGGTCAAAGGCTTACAGAAATAAAACACATGGGTTGCACGATCCTCCTCAGCGCTTCCCAAATATGACCTCCACTAGACTGACCTTTATGTAGTTCTCCCCTCCATCCTTCGCCTAGGAGATAGAATTACCTCTTGTTTCCAGTACTGAAGCTGCAATGTAAAGTATGGCACCATCAACATCGGTGAGGTGGCTGTATCCCATTTCACGGATAGCTGCTTTGCTATTAAAATACAGCTCTGCGACTCCATCCTCCATCTGATGATGAGGAGCAAGGCGAGAATTTAGACTACAGTACAGTCTCGAACCCAGTGATTTCAGGAATTACAGTTCTGGACCCAATGACCAACTATTACAGTCTTGAACCTAACGATTTCAACACTGATAACATGGGGGAGATGAAAGAGGAAGGGGTAAGAGCTTGTCCAAGAAAATGGCCATTGGCCAGAAGGAAAATAATAAATTAATATTTTCTACAATTTGGGGACAGCATTAAAAAATGGTCCATTGAGGCTAATCTTGAAGTAGCAGCCTCAAATAGTTCTTTGAGTTCTTTACCATTGTAAAATTTCACCTGCTCTTTGAACTTAACTGTCCTCTCAATAGGACATAGCTAGCTAGATGCTAGGTTTTGCTAATCCCCACAATGTATTTCCTATAAGTAAATATCCTTTCAGTTATAGTTACAAAATCTGTGTCACTAATCCTTGCTCAGGTTAGATTCCCACTCTCAGGAACACCCAGGAAGGTGCCCACACAGCAAACTTTCAAAAAGCACAAGATATTTTACATACTGTATTTTACACCTTTTATTTATAGACCCAATTTGGGGAATGAAAACTCTTGAATTCTGAGAAAAGAGGATTCAAAAATTGGCAGGAATTTATCCAGTTACAGTTCCTGGCAAGAATGCAATACTCTTCCAGCAGAATTTAAGAATAAAACATTTTAAAGAATTCCATGGTTTCCTTAACTGGAGAATATATGGGCAACTGATCAAATAATAGCAAATATTTCAAGCCGAGTTCCCAGAAACAGCAGGAGTTGGGAATGCTTCAAAGATTCTCTCATTTGAGAGAGCAATGGGTTGAAAGTTGTGACTAGAAGTGAGGCACCAAGATATAACTAGTTTATGGAATAAGCTAGTTGATGAAATATGATAAAAACTACTTAATGTCCAGGTAGAACCATGCCTATTAATGAGGTTTAAGCTTTCTGGAAGAACACAAGCCAAGATTCATGGATATGAATCCTAAAGAAAAGGCAGATGGGGTGGGGAGGTAAGGAGGGGGTGTAGTTTAACTTGTGTGTTGGCTCCGTTTCTTGATTCTAAAAAGAATATTAATAATTGAAGGCTACTCTACCATTTCGGATCTCACACTGGGCCACACAGATGGTTTTAAGGAACTTGTAGAAACATCCCTAGGAACAAGGAATGGAGCCAATACTGTAGTTCTGACATGCCTTTCACTTTGGCTGTTGGTTAGCAAAGAGAAAGGGGGTCCCTGGAAGGACTCTGAGCTCATTGAATAATTTGGACTGAGTAGGAAACTCTTTTCAACTTTCAAGCTCTAGAACGCCTGAAGTTCTAAAGATGCCTGCTTCTGAACATTTGCACAATGCATTTTGCTCAGCACCATCAGCGCCATCATCCTTTATTCATACAAATCAGGTCTGGAAACTCCCCAGGTTGAACGAGGCAAAATTCTTGGGATGGCCAACTGCAGATAAGCCATGTCTGTGTTAGAACAGGACAGGTTTTCCTGCACTGCACGCAAAGTTAGAAAATTATCAGAGCTTTCTTGTCCATGTTAGGCACAGTAAAGCATTAAAAGCATTAGCACCGTATGAGAAGATCTGTTTTGCATCCAAGTAGCATGTTTCCAAATCTGCCCTGATTCACTGATATTAACAGGCAGAAGTGTGAGTTCCAAAGCAGACTTAACCAAGGCCTTATTTCTTTTAATGTTTAAAAAAATACTGATCAGTATTAAAATGTGAAGTAACTCAGCCCTACTAACAAACAATATACAGTACTGTCTTTTATGGAAAACAAATAAGGTATGTATGGAGCTAGTGTGGATTTTGCAGCCAAATTGGATGAAATGCCATTTGCTAAATTTCGGTCCCAACTGTGTTGCTTTTCTCTTATGACCCTGATAATGCACATTCAAAATGGAAGCACAGAGGTCAACATCTGCCAAGGTAAACCTGGAGCTAAATCCAGAACTCAGAAGCATCCCCAGGAACTGGAATAGGCTGGATCTGGTTGTTTTCATCCCAAGCTTACCTGAACGAGACGCAATGATTTGGGTAACATTGTTTTTGTAGTTCCTTGAATGATTCCAAAACGGACATAAACTTCTGCTTCACTCAATTTCTTCTTGTAAAAATAACTTGAAAACAGAGACCAAGACAATATAACCATCAGCCCGTCACATAACACTGTATGGGTTATGAGAAACTAAGTGTAAATGATCTACGCTAGAAAGGAAGCATCTTCTGTGTACAGGGGAGCACCTTCAGGCCAAGTTAGTGGGCTGTTGATTGGACTAATTTTTGTTTTGTTTTCTGGTGCCTTTGAGACAGTGTTGACTCCTGGCAACTGCCTAGACAAGTCCCTGCAGTTTTCTTGGCAAGATGTCAGAAGGGGTTTGCTCTGGCCTTCTTCTTCCCAGGGCTGAGAGAGAGGGACTGGCCCAAGATCACCCAGCTGGCTTTGTGCCCAAGACAGGACTAGAACTTACGGTCTCCCCGTTTCTAGCCCTGTGCCTTAACCATTCCACCAAGCTGGCTCTCCTAATTGTATTAACGCAATTTACCAAAACATTTGTGTTACATTATTTGCAGAAGCAGGGAATTTTCATTAAACTAAGGAGTGCAAAAGAGGGAGGGGCCACTTAATTCTTCTCCCCCCCCCCCCCC